CGTTGTTGGATTTTTTGGTTTGTGCCGTTACAAATGCAGATTACAAACAAGGGAGTTTACCCTATTTAACAATTTTTTAATGCATTGTGTGAAATCACTGGTAACCCAGTATTTTTTTTTCTGTGAGCCTGTATTCATGGGCTATCGCTGGTGCCTCTTACTCAGTCTTACTGACGTCTATTGTATTTCATCAATAAGATTAACAAATAATCACTACAACTGGGCATTCACGTTACCTATAAATTACTAAGCCTATAAGAACACACAATAAATGCCTTGGGCAATCTATTTTAATTTTTTTTTCTTCAAATTTATTTATCTGCATGGGATATTGTTTTTATTTATCATCTGCATCAATCAAAGTTGAAGTATCACATAGTTCAACATGGGCACTCAACAGACTCAATCTCAAAAGAATAGCTCTCTCCCATCGCAATTATCGTACATTAATCATTCTACCGCATCCAATTTTATCTTCAAATTATGCTATACGGAGGGAAAAAAATGTGACATTATACACTACGGTAATCGTGATTTGAAATTAATGGACGGCATTCAAAGCTTAGTATTGTAAAAGCGCGTAGGTATAGTCGAGCAGTTCAGTTAGGGGACACGAATGAGATTACGGAGAATGACAACTCGTCGAAATTGCACTAATGGGATAGTCAAGATTTTATTATCCATTTTCTATGACTTTTTATAGATCCTAATGGAATGGAATAATATCAATTTACATCAACTAATTCGTATGAAATATAATTTCATAACTGACGTCAATAAAGAAAAAAAAATACTTTATCATCTATAGACTATTGTTAACATATTAAGATACGTCAGCAAATTGTCCTAATTCAGATACTTAAATTTTATTTTTGTTAACTGCGATAACAACACTGTGTTCAATAAAAAATACCAATATATACATTGGTTTAACCCGCATTCATATTTTGGTTTCCTAAAGGCGGGTTTCCACTATATGCAAATTTATTCGCACGACACGAAATGTTTCGCCTCAAAAAAAAATTGTGTAAGCGCATTTGTTATTTTTCACAAGGAAATTACCTTGTTTTTCACAACATGGGGATGAGCAACTTTTCGCAAACATTCTACCACGTTGTCATTGACGTGTCGGCGTGCCATAGTGACGTGTACAAATCGTAAGTCAATTCATATGCCCGTATCCAATGTCAGTCGACATAACGTTATCTTGTCTGTATGTTTGTTTCTGTCGATTTCCCTTGATACGGACATGCGCGTTTGAGACTACGAATTGGCTTATTCGAATCTGCGCTTATGCGTGAAGGACTCGCATATGAAATTTTAACCGCGCATGCGTACTGTCAAACGCTTTCGGTTTGTGCGAACAAATTTGCCTAGTGAAAAACCGGCTTTATGCAGCCCATTCAATGATCATGATTTTTAGACGCCTATTGGAATACGCACGACGATGACAAGCATGCTGAAAAATTGTATCTGAAATAATAAAGGTGGAGTTTTGTTTTCTTATAAAGTATGCTAATCCGAACTTCGTGGTAAAATAGGTGTATTAGTTATTTAATATTCTTCTGTAAATCGAGCCTGGTGAGAGGATTTGCATCCGAGTTTATGCTTATGCTAAACGTTTGTATAAATGTTTATATTGATATTTACCATACTTCAAAATCTTGATATTCACCCTCACATTCGACATTAATCATCACCGCCTATATCATCTACATTATAGTCGTTATCATAATAATATCATCATCAGGGCTAACCGTTCCAATGATTTATATTAACGTCGTCGTCATCAACAATTACAATGTTATTATCATCGTCATTGTTGTCGCCATCCACATCAAATTTAATCTTAATATTCTGTAATTGGGGAGGATTATTCTTACAATAAAGCACATAGTTAAAAGAAACCCATGAATATAGCAATGACAACTAAAAACGTAGGGCTATTACATAAATTATCAATAAGCAATAATAATAGGAATTCATATCCGCCTTTTGCCAAGAGGTATAAGGCGCAATGGCTGTGTTGTTATAAACTCCTGATCATTGTATATAAGTTGTCAACACAGGAACCTGGTTAATAAAAGAATTGTATAATAATTATATACCTGGTTATGCGGTGTTCCCCACCCCCCCCCCCTGTCGGGCAAATCCTGGCGCCACTCCTGACTTAGGTGTTCGTTGAGTTTTTTAGTTTTAGCAAAAATTGAAATTCAAGTAATTAGTATTTCAGATACTTGTGTATGTAATCTTTTTTTGTAATGAGGGGCAATTTATTGAAAATGGACATTTCAAGCCTTTTTTTTTATTGAAGAGTGAAAGTACAGCACTCTTGATCTAAAAAAAAAAGCATGATTTTGAGTAATTGCCTTCCAAATGTATGCACATACACTGTTTAATTGAAATAATAAGGGCATCGAAGTTAGGTTGAATATTTTTTTGCCCATTTCCAGAACTAAGGCTCTGGTGCATGATTAACTGGACATTAAACTGTGTTTATAGTAATTTTTATTTTATTTTTAGGCCATTTTTTAGCTCACTCTCTCTTTTATAGCTCATTTACTCAATACTGACCTGTGAGCCATTTAGCCACGGCGTGCCTCATATATTTTTATTTTACTTAAGTATTGAGGTATTTTACTTTACTAAGTTACAATGCCTAAAGAAGTGAAATGCAAACCAGATCTCAAACCTGAAGCTTGAGAGCACAACAGAATAGAAAAAAATGATTTTATTTTATTGTTTGAGACATAGATAATGTATATCTTGTATGTATTCCAGTTATAGTAAGTCGTTCAACGAAACGACACAGGGAAGGAAAAGCAAAGATGTGAGAAGCTTTGAAAGATACAGAAATCCAACTGGATTATGAAAACATTAAAGAAGGTCGAGTAACGAAAGATTTGTGAGGTGGCTATACGAGTATTTATAATAATTTGCTTAGCACAATTTTGAAAGGTGAATACAGGTTAATAGGAATAGTATTAGCACCCTAGGCACTCCGACAATACCGTAGTTAATGCAAGAAGAAATAGCGTATTTGGAATGATAAATTTAATACTTTTTTAAATTAAGAAACTTGTTTATTCTAGCAAGAGCTTCTGTTCAGTAAGCCAGGGAAGATCTAAATTTGTCAGCATGTGATAGGCTAGCAGACGGAACATCATGGAAGATAAGAAAATTACTGAGAATTAAATAGAACGTTTTAAAATTACAGATAAAATAGTTTTGGAGATTCCCAACAGGGATTTGACTGTAAATTGTATGCTTCTGCCAATTTTAAACTGAATTCAGTTTTGCGCAACTATAAACCTAAAATACTTATATTATCCATTATATATAGGCCTATATATGTATATATATATATACGTATATACGCGTGATATACACATATACACACATATATATATATACATATACATATATATACACACATACATATACATCACATATATATACATATGCACATATATATATACATATATATATACATATACATATATATGTATACATGTATTTATATGTATATACATATACATATACATATATACATATAAATACATATATATATATATATATATATACATATACAATTAATGCATACATAATGAAGAAACAAGAAGTTTTCCTGTTGTTAGTTACAGATCAGTAGTGTGGTCAATTGGTTTACGTGTTGGCAGAACAAGTGCGGTTTTATGGTGATTTCGAGGTGGAGGTACGGTACATCATGAGAAACAGATATAATAGCATTGAGACACCAATCCTGATATTGGGGTTAATATTATAATTTCGTTGTACTATCCATCATGTAAGTGTGCCGTCTTTATCACTGTCGTGTTGAATAACCAAAACGTTAGAAAACAAAATCCAAAGCATGCTGCCACAATATATATAATAATTCATTGCTAATTTTCACTTGGTGAAAAAAAAAATAGAATACACATCGCCATTGATTATTTTGCTTTACTTGTGGATTACTAATGATATAATAATATACTTCATTTGAGCCCGCATTAATCTCTTATTTATGTTGAATATGTAAACATCCTGCATCGTATGTTTTGTTTTACGTTGTATAAAGCTCTGTCCAGAATATCAAATTTTCTTTGACAAAACATTGGTGTATACCCATATATAGTTATGGTATATATGGTCATGATGTGATGTCATGATGACCATATTTAGGCATGTCACATGTTTTTGTCAAATAAAATTTGATAGTCTGTACAGGGCTTAATTTTTATTGTAGGGCCTATTTCCAAAATGTCTGGGGAAAATTGTCCTAGGGGAAAATTTCACCGGGAACTTACCCGGAGGGTGTGTGGGAGTAATACAGATGAAGATGTCTCGGGAGGGTGGGAGAGTAGCCTGCTCCCATCAAATCAATCTTAATTGGTTGAAGTTTTAACGCCTAGTTTTTTTTTAATATATATATAGGCCTACTGTAAACAGCCTTATGAAACCGGTACCGTTAGAGGTAATCTGCAAGGTCAAAGATTTAACTCATGCTTGCACTTATTACCTGGCGTCATCTTATAATCATGTTTGTCATTGTATTCTATACGTTTTTATCAACGAAATAAATGATAGGCCTACTATATCATATGATCGACAGTGATTATGACGACATAAATATCGAAAGCAATGAATTACCGTCATAAAAATAATGTCTCATTTTCTCATTTCGAGAGTTCCTCTGGAAATATCACAAAAGATTTAATCTATAGTGCTTACTGTACTTAACAATGACCCATACGAGCGTTTTATCTGAATCTCCTAAATATTAATCTCTTTGACCCTTTTTGATAGCGAAAAAAGTGAGGGTAAACTTATTTTGGAATGGCAACACACAGAACAGTGTATATTCGATAGGGATAGCGTCTCTGTGCAAGTGATCAGTGGGAAGTTACGCGAGCGCTGATTGGCCAGTAAGATATCCTGAAAGGAGGGACTACTGTAGAGTTGATCGGCACATCTGTTCGATGTAGGAGTGAATTATTGAACGCGGTAGCACAGCGCAAACACTACTGTGAGGACTGATCATGGAGATGATGTACGTTTTAAAACGATTAATGTACTGGAGTATCTTTTGCTAGGCCTTCTAATTTCCTTAAGTTACAGCGATGCCTGGATTCATATTGGGAATATTTTTTTTGACTGTCACTAGTGTCAATGCTATAGCATACATTGATCAACCGTCAAATAAGTCGGTTACCATCGGTAACGATGTCGTTTTGCGATGTACTGTCTCCAACAAAGGTGGATCTAAACTTTATTGGCAAAAATTAGACGTAACTGGGTATAAATTCATCAGCATGGATGGAAATATTGATCCCTATGGGATTTACAGTCGTGATATCAAGTCTCGTTATTCCGTAGTTGGAGACCATAATTTAGGTGAATATAATTTGAAAATTGAGAGAGTAAAAATTGACGATTCTGGAAAATATGTCTGTGTATACTTTGAAAGTGGGTACGGAAGGTATTCTCGTATTGCGAAATTAAGTGTAATGTGGCCAGCACCAGAACCACCACATTGCCAGGTAACATACAGTTCCAGCTCTCGGAGAGTATCATTGATATGTTTGTCTCGTGGGGGACAGCCTTTGGCGTCGCTAGCGTGGAAAAATGGAAATATGAACTTAAAAGGAACGGCACGAAAAACTGACGATGTGTCTTTAAATATTTATCAACCGGGTTCGCGAACATTTACGGGAAGTACTTTCACGTGCGTGGCAATTACGCCTGCATTAAACATCCCTCGTACTTGTACTGTACTCCCAGTTTACATAAATTGGCAACGGAACCAATTACATACAGGGGATGATGTTACCTTGACTTGTAAGGTGTTTTCAAATGAGAACGATTTGGCAATTTCATGGCAAATTAACTACGAACAGGTTGCGAATTCCGGAAAATTAACAGAATTTAAAGATGGAAAACGAAAGTTAGTAATATTTGATCTCGATATATCAGATACTCAGATGAAAGTGACGTGCATAGTTCGGATTCGGAATGGACTCACGGGAAATGCTACCGAAACACTAATCATCAATAATAAGGAATCTGCTGTTTATATGACCACGTACCCCACCACTATTCGTACGACCTTGAATGATTTCCACGAAATCACAAAAACCGCACACACTTCCACCAGAGTAAAATTGCCAAATAGTAGCAATATTATTACCGTATCTACAAAGTCCATAACTACTTTACAACGACATTTAACTGATGGATCAAATTTTAGCGCCATTGAAGGCACTGTAATTTATGGTGGTCCCTTTCCGGGTCCTCCTTTTGAAGTTGGAGGTGGCGGGAAAAGTCCTTTATTTTATAAGATTTTTTTGTCCGCTGTGAGTATTGTCACGTTTTTACTTTTTATCCTGGTGATTGCTTATGCAATGCGTTACCACAGAGCAAGGGCACTATCGCAACTAGCTAACCGACGACAGCTTGAAGATAAATGTAAAGACAGTGTACCAATGACTGGGGTATTGAGTGATATGGCAAGTGAAAGTAAGAGGTCTGATAATGATGATAGCGGAATATCATATGGTACTGAAATAGAATCAAATATTGACTGCAGTACTCTTGAATATAAAGAAAATAAACGCATTATAGGCACATATCCAGATCTCATTATTAGTCAAGATACGAACATTATAGATGAGAAAAAAGTGGAACCAATATATATGTCTCTTAATAATTGTTCTGACGAAGAATCTGGAGATGAAATAAAAGACCAGAAAGTAACAAATTTGCACCCTGTCTATATGATGCTTGACCGAGAAGCAGAAAAAAGGGATGAAGTTTATAGTTGTGTTGATATCAGGCCTAGGAATTATATTAATCAAACTCAAAATTCAAATGACACTGAATATACAGATATAAACACGCAGAAGCATCTGTACGCTGTTCTCGAAGACGACTCGGAGAAGAGTCTTGTAGTAAGTACAAGATCGGATCTGCGAGAATGTGAATTTAGTAGCAGTGGATATTTTAGTGGAGAGTCCCCATGCGAATACGAAGAACTGCCTGAAAGTTTACCTGATCTTAAAACTCACCACCCTGACCCATCATGCGCATACGCGGTCACAGATCTTAGGCAAGTAAGACGCCCTCTACGACCATCTTTGAAACAAACTTTGTGGCTAAAATTAACCAGAAATAATAGTAGGTCTAATACGTTGAAAGATGGAGAACATATTTCTAGACGTAGTCTCCCAAAACCATCACGTAATAAGGATATTAATTGTGACAACACGCATGGCATATTAACTAAAACTTCCAGCTGTCCACTTGTTGTACCAATGGGTACAGAAAACCCACGGGCAACACCTATGGACTCGCCTTCACAGTTCAGAAATGCACATTTTATGGCCAATAGACCCCTAATTAGTAGACCAATATTTGGTAGAACCGTGAGTACAGAAAGAGGAATAGTTGTTACAGACGATTATGCCGAACTAGAAATTAATCCCTCGTTTTCGGAAAGTCAAACAGACGATACGACGTATGAATCGCTTGAGGAATACGCAGTAGTTCAGAAAAGTCCCACCAAACAGAAACTTCAGAGAGCGAATGAGAATATTCCTGGCCTTAAACTTAGCCCATCTTTCCAAGGTAGAAAGCTCCCAAAAATTAAAAAGTCAGCGTCATGTCATGGGTGCGGTTCTCCAAATGCAGATCGTGGATTTTTTAGTTCCAGTTCGGAAGAGGAAGTAGGAAATATAGGACCGCAGACACCTCCTAGAATTTTGAAGAATTACAAACGCATTGATCAGATTCGCAAAGACGAGGCACGTTTGAAACGCGCCTCTTGGCCAAATCGTATGTCACCAAAAACAGAGAAACGCAGTGGAAATTCTAACATATATTCTGTTTTGGATGTAGACTAATAATGTCGAACAGCTTTTGTTTCAAGTTGCGATACGGAGCACGTAGTCATACCTAGCGCCTTTTAACTGTCGGAATAAAATGTACGGACCAAGAGCTCATATAGGCCTATAAGCGCTTATTATTGTAAAGGCATTTTATTAAAAAGCTAAGCAGATTAAAACAATTCATAAAAAAACTATGAATCTATAAGTATTGATATAAATTTTATTAAATAAATAATAAATCAATTATGAAAGTATATAAATTCTGCAGACAATATATATTTAGTTATAATACTGTATCACATTTGTAAAATTTGAATTTATAGAATTTGCGCATAAACTTTTAACAAAAGCCTGTATTTTTTGGCATTTTCATAAAATATTCCAGACATTACCAATGATTAATCGCTTAAACCACATGATTACGTTGTATTGAATCCCCGTAATTAACTAGCTGCACTTTCATACTTTTATTAACTAATAATAAATATTAAAATATTCCAATAATTTTATTTTATATTTGATTTGTAAAATTAACTTATGGGTAAAACATGTACCGGTATCCGATTCGGATTGTACTGTCTCTACAGTACCATGTTTTGTGTCTACTGCCCCAAGGGGATGTAGACACTTAGCTATCGACTTACTTTAAGTTGTGAGATTAAATCCGACTGGAGGAATGACGGAATGCCATGCATTAGTAAGACATTATACCTCCATGGTAAGACCTGTCTTAGAAAGAATTAAAAAAAAGTCAACAGTCTGTTATTTGTACAGTTATTCCGACCAGTGAATTGCCAACAGGGAAAGCGTGGCTGGGTTAAGCTGGGAGCCTATTTTTAATAATTTTAGCAATGATAGTCATCTTGACATTTTGACTGCTATTCAAAATTATAAACGACAATGTGAAATATAATCGTACACTTTTAATCATTGTGGTAGACATTATTCGATGACGTCATATTGCAATAGATATTATTCCATGATGTATTATTATGCATGGCATAGACTGTTGAATATACTACCGAATTATTCCAATCGGTTGGATCGAAGGAATTTAGTCTGCTAATGCTGCAGTAATAAGACTATTAACAGATATAATTGTATGATTAAATATTGATATCAGATTACGTAGCCTGTTGTGAATTTGCCTGGTTTATCGAGGAACATGCTGCAGGCACATAAATAACTTCCCAGCGCTGATGAGGAAACACATCATAATGCTTTCCATAACTTCGATTTTACATTCAAATTTCACTTAATATATTCATGCCTATCGGATTTCCATAGTAACAGTGATAATAAATATGTTCACTGTATTAAAAACTTCAACAGAAATCGCAGATGGTAAATAGGTCTATATATGTAGCTTATAGTTCAATGTCTTTGAATAAGGAAATGAATCTGACGTGTGGGACGTCTTGAAAAAGGAAACCAAAATATAATGATATAAAAATAGTAACGCTTGTCATTACTGTATTTGACTTTTTATAACATTTCGTAGATCCTATGTAAAGATTAATGCCAATTTAAATAATTCAAACGACAATGTTCAAATGTAAAGACAATCAGAAATTGGGTAGATTATAAATATATGCAATGCGCTTAATGTGTTTATGTGTTATGTTTTATTCATCGTCATCATTGTTTGTCAGAGGCGCACAAATCACACGGCATACTGCGTTATGAAAACTGCACAAATAATAGGTTGATGATGATAGTAATAATGATAACAATATTATAATATATCAATGTATTAAAATACTGTATACAATATTATACAGTATTTAATATCTTATAATAATGGATTATTGTAATAATATTATATATTCTTAAACCACTGACTGAAAACTCAATAGTTTTTATAGGTTTATGCCGTTTGTCTTATAGTTTATGGTTTAATTATTGTCAAAAATGAGGGATAAAAAAATTGACACAAGTCATTGGCCGATTAGAAGATGAACGGGTAACGGAACACATTTTCGCGCATGCATTTTATCAATTTGATACAAGCGGTTTTCTATGGAAGTTTGATATTGACGGAAATGCATAGAGGTCTCAAGCACTTTGAGTGAATTTTCCAGATGTTGTTCAGCAGTCTAACCGTCGTTTCTAAATCGCAGAGTAGTTAATTCTTTATAAGCATAGGATTGTCGTGAAGCGCGTAAAGTAGCCTCAAATGATTTATATAAATATCCGATTACTTCTACAATTGAAGATATATCACAAAACACATGCGTGTACAAAAAATACAAAAACAAGTATTTAACACGTTGATTCTATTAACGATTATTTATCGTTTAAACAATACTATTTTTGAATTAAAAGCTTAGTGCGAATTATCCAGAGGTTCCGATTATTTGTAAAATTTTTTTTAAATTCTGGATGATGATGTCAGGAATGACACACATATATCTCAACCTACAATATAGCTACAGCCCCAATCAGAACTGTTATTTTAAAAATTGACATACGTTAAATAGAATTATGTGACGATGATGTTGATGATAATGAAGGTGATGTTGATGGTAATGTTGGCGGTGTGATGTTGACGGAGTGATGATAAAAATGGTGGGAAATGATAAGTATACTAATGGCGAGAAGAATTTCTGCATGAAAAATCTTTATGTAATACATATCTCATTTTAAGCACGCCAAAAAACTTAGTAAAAATAATGAAATTTATCTAAAATTTGATATGCAAATAACAGGAAGAGGATAATTTTCATCGTCTAAACACGAGATACTTGCTCTGTTATCTCATATTATTCAATCCATATGTAAACACAAAAATAATGACATCAATAACAATGTAATGTAAATAGATGCAATAAATAAAGTGTCTATTAAGTCGTTATACTGTTCTACGAGCACTAGAAACATGGCGACAAAACTTCCTAATTAAATCAAGGTGCCCAAAATAACGTAAGAAATATAGAAGCAAAGACTTTAATGTAATATTCAAATTATGCTGCTTATAATAATTGCTATTTTTCTAGTTAGATTATCGTATTCTTGTTAAGTTTGTCAGTAACCGCTTGCTTGACGTAGAAAGGCGCTCGCATTGTCCCCTAACGTTCGTCAATGGCAGGACTGAGTGAATGTTTAAGAAAGAAAAGTGAGAATTTAAGAAAGATGTATCACAATTAGGCCTATGCATGAGAAAGAAGTTTTTTCAAGAAGTGTAAATCAATAAAACATAAATTTTAATAATAATAATAATAGTAATGACAACAATGATAATAATTCTGTTATAATACAAATTCAAAATTCAAATTCAAATTCAAATTTATTGTCCAAAAAGGAAATTACATTGAGAAAAAGTCATTGCTCAAGAATTACACAATTACAGTATATAATAATAATAATAATAATAATAATAATCATTGCAAAAGAATTACACAATTACAGTATAATAATAATAATAATAATAATAATAAATAATAATAATAATTATATATAATGTTTGTATTGATTTGTTGAAAAGCAAAACAATAAGGCTAAATTTTACAAATTACCTAGTCAAAAAGTATTAAATATTAATGTTATAATTGCAATTATAAATATCTTACTAACAAAATCCTTAATTCTCATTATGAATTATACTTTTTTTTTCATTTTCTCTTTTTCTTTTATTCTATCTAATCTCTACTTGTATCATTCTTTCATTTACCTTTTCATTTAATCTCTATGTACTTTCTTTTTATTCTTTACTGTTCCTTTGTTTTCTTCAACTTTTTCTTTATTATTCCTTTTCAATCTTTCGTTTTCTTACTCCTCTTCAATCTTTCGTATTATTCCTTCTCAATATTTCGTTTTCTTTCTAATATTTCCATTTCAATTTTTTTGTTTTGCTTTCATTTTAATACATTTTTCTTCCTTCCTTTTGTTCTATTCCTTTTCAGCATTTCGTTTTCTTTCTATGTTGAAAAAGATCATTCGTGCAACCCGTCGTCTCTTCGATGTAAACGCATGCTAGTTCATTAGCTGTCATTCTTTCAAGGTGGATTACCATCAGTTTCGTTATAATATAATTTTAAGAATTACATACTTAAAATAATTAAACTTAAACACTGCATGCATAACTCTATGTTTAGATTATACAAAAAAAAATTAATTTAGATGTCAATAGTTTTTGAAAGCTAAATTTAGTAACACATTACAAAAAGGTAGAAAGAAGTGGTGAGATTAACATTGTTACTTTTCTATATGAAATAATGACAAGATAAATCTCCTCTTTGCGAGATACAAATTGATTGGATTAAGCGTGGCTCCAAAATCTACGTAATGTGCAAGATTCGATATTAAGCATTACGTTGATTGACAAGTAAAGTACAAAAGAAAATGTAAAATATTGTCATGGAGCAGACATACCAATGCAATAACAAAGTGCTGTAATTCCGACATTGAATAACCTCGTTTAACAACACTTTAAGACTTACTAAATCTTAAATGTCTCACGTGGTATAACATTTTATAGTTGTCAAATTTATTTTCTGTAACTAATGCAACATATCCATATCCATATTGCATTGTGTGTGGATTTTGACATATGCGGTTTTAAGTAAACATCAAGTTGAATTGCAAGCATGAAAAAAAAAACACATCTGCCGGCTTCCACCATTGTAAAAACAAAGAAATACCATCATAAATAACTTTGCAAAGCGACAAATTCTAGCACTAGAAAAACAAGCAACAGACGTCTGACACTTTGATAAAGGAAGATGTATACGTATAGAATCAAATGCCATACAGTCATTTCGTTATATTGTTTCCGGAATTGAAAGTGGTGGAAAGATGGAGGAAGATGATAACAGTGGAAGTAAGATATAAACACAATTTGCTGTGTGAACAATACTGCAAAATTTACTGTAGGTAATATAAATTTCCAAATACCGTACCTGGTTTGATTATAGGCTAACAGATCATTTGGTAGACCTTAGATGATATATCAAAACTGAACACTATTGTACGTTAATTATCATTCAAGTACATACTGTAGTAATGCTGTGGCATGTACCCCACTCCTTTTAAAGTGGTTATAGTTTTCGTTACTTTAAATTTGTTTTTAATGAATTCGATTCTAAAGTCGACAATTCTAAAGTCAATCATTAATTATTATTATCATCATCATCCTTTTTACTAAATTAACTGAAATCTAATTTAAACACTTTTCAACAAAATTGAATTAAACCTTTTGATGAAGGTAGAAGATTTCATTATTGTATTTTGAACATATTATTATAAGCTAGTGACATTAAGTATTTTGTGAAAACGTTTATTTAATGTTATGCATAGTTATATGGAAAATTATAGGGTTATCCTAACGTTGCTAGTGTCTAAGATGCAAGTCTAGATAAGAAAAGACACGAATGGCAAAATGTACTATTGTTAGGCAGAAACGTTTGACAAAACAAAGTACATTGACGATTCTGAGAGTTCTTTAACATGTGCATGGTCAATTGTAGTAGATCATCAACCTTGATTTTAGGATGTTTGCGGTTCCACTGTATCCAAATAGAAGAGTTGAACGAGGGAATGGGATACTTTAAAACATTGTATTCAGCTAATTGTCTGGAAACAGGATGTTGCCCTAACCCGTCGGAGGTGCGCCATGTAGGGCACCCAAAGAGCTTTAGCACGGCCTCTCTCTATGGTACAGATCTCTATCATAGGTAGGCCACAGTGATGAGACGTCATGTGAATTTGAAGGTATAATGTGTAGGCCTATAATGTTAAGCAAAATGTTGTGCAAGTATTTGTGCAGGTGTCCTCTCATTAACTGAAGTTAGAACGCAGATATGACGGTAGGGATACACCTTACAAACCGAGTCAACAGTACTAGCTTTTAATTCATTATTCTGATATTACAACTTGAAACCTGCATGAAATTACTCTAGATTAATCATATTTTTCATTAATCTTGAAACAAATGCCAAGTTAGAATAACCTCCGAAAAGTGCAATGCTTCCGGAAATTTGCTATAGGCAAGCAGTGTTTGTCTCTGTGAAATTAATCTAACAATTACCTGCGATTCTCAGGGCATTTGTTATTCATATACTTCAATAACTTATGCCTATTCATGTACTTACTGAAACCAAATACAGTAAATTTATGTATTTAGAGCCTCATATTGCAAAGGGTTGTGCAATGTCCTACTATCTTCTGCATGCAAACGTGCTTGACTTTATTATTATTTGCTAGCTTTGGCCTATATAAACTAACAACTACAACATTGGTGTATACCAAAATACTTCTTAAAATTAAGCATTCACATACAAAAAGAAGATGTTTAATCATATCGCCCCTGACTCCAAACACGTATCAGCACTTGATAGACGTTGTTATGCCTATCGCTATCCTCAACATTGACATACAAAAAAAGAAGGTAGTTTATCATATCTCCGGTAAAAATCTATATATAGGTCTATATACGGTTAAAACAAAATATTAGATGAAGGATGGGTTTAGTGGTACGGTACCATATCATGATGTATACACTACGGGTTCACACAACTAACAATCATGATGTTAAAGTTGTATGTTGTCACTACCTTTGAATCAGGATCGTGATATATTATGTATGTATGTATGTATGTACGTACGTATGTGT